GTTAGTGTCAATTATGCCAATGCATTCCCCATAATAAGCGAAAATACTTGTTAAACTTAGAATCTACCTTGGGCTCTCGGATACCTTCATTGCTATAATTAATTTAATACAACCGAATGACCATCTTTGTGTATAACAACACTAATCTCTTCCTCGAGGAAGTGGGTGGGGGATTCAGATAATTGTCCACATACACGCATAGAGAGACGCATACACATATTAATGCATATATATATATATATATATATATATATATATATATATATATATATATATATATATATATATATATATATATATATGTGTGTGTATATATATATATATATATATATATATATATATATATATAACTGTAGGCAGAGATGTTATATTAGCCACACATATAAAGGCCCATATAATTATATATATATATATATATATATATATATATATATATATATATATATATATATATATATATATATATATATATATATATATATATATATGTATGTATATATATATTATAAGTATATATATATGGGGGGATTTTCAGCGTATTTTGAAGATCCTGCCCACGCTATTGTGTGACGCGGTGATTTGAATTATGAATAGTAATAATGATGAGTAATCTATATTAGGGTTATCAGAAAACAAAACTAGCACGAGTGTGTATTTAATTATAGAATATTTCTGGAATATTAAAAATAAATTTCAAATACCAGCTTTTAAAGATTACTTTATTAAAATTTTACCCAGAACTTTATACAGTCTTGTCGGGTTCAACAAAGTATCTTGCCAGGCCGGCATTAAATGGGGCGAAGACATCCCCGCCAGCAGCCAGATCTCGGTGCTCAAGGGCGACATCATCGGGGCCTTTACCCTCAACGTGAACACGCTCAGCATGAATAACTGCACCAAAGACGACGACAAGATCATGAACGTCCCGATAGCCACTAACGTCAACGCTGAGAATAAACTTCAGTCAGCGAAGTTCAACTCCATTTACTGCTACATACTGTCGTTGGGATGCCGAGTTCAACCGGGTAAAATTAGATATCTAGATACATAGGCATATATAGGCTATATAATATATATATATATATATATATATATATATATATATATATATATATATATATATATATATATATATATATATGCGTGTGTGTGTATGTATATGTATATATTTAAATTTACTTTTTCGAACCTGGTAGTCCAAGGGACTTATGAAGTAGAGTTACCCTGCTATAGTAGCACTAGATCTACGTCCAGTCGCCTTTGCTTTCACTGGCGTAAGGCATGCACACATCAGAGCTTGTGGAAACGTCCTTCAGATTCTACCCTTGATAAGAACTCGAGACTTTTGGTTTAGCAGCCGTTAGTAGTCGTTAATATCAGCCATAAATGAATGCTGTTTTTTTTTTCCTTCAGTTCGTGTTTATAGACAAAGTAATAATAGACTAAAGTTAAAAGTAATATAGACTATAAGCTTAATAATTAACAGCTCTGGTTGCCATAAAAAAAAACAAAAAAATGTTGTTAATGAATAATGATGTCCATGTGTTATATTACAGTTTAAATTTTCAAGAAATCTACGAAAGAAAACGCCTTCTCGCTTTAAAACTACATTATTCTACACAGCTAGCTAGTCTTTGTCTTTTGATCCCGAAAAAAAGCCAATAAACTTTTTTTTCAAAACAAAATATCTTGTACTTCTTTTTATATGCAATTTTACATTCTGTTTATGACGTTATGCTTTCCAACAAAATCAGTTTACATTAGTTTACAATTTACAGAGCAGATTTAAATTGTATTTTTAAGCTCATTTGATGTTTTTATTTCCGACTCAAACGAAAAACCAAAATTGTTTAGCTGTTATGATATGTAGATAGGTCTATATCTATCTATACTGCACATTGAGGGGTCATCCATAAATGACGTGACGCTTTTTTTTACGATTTTTACCTCCCCCCCCCCCTCCCCTCCGTCACACGTCGTCACAAAAAGCCAGACCCCCCCTAAAATGACGTCACACCTCAACCTAACACCCCCCTCAAAGTTGAACTTTTTTGACTCCCGAGAATATTTCTGCGAAAAAGAAAACTAAAGTTTCTTACGGGCGGCGCCATATAGGGTACAACTTTCGTCAATACACGGTTTGGCGCCCAGAGTTTTAGAGCGACTAAGTTGGCACTTGGCATCCGTTAATCGAGCGTCCTGTATAGCGAGTAGTAAGGGGTACTACTATATTCAGCGGTAAAACTACAACAGGCTTCTAAAAATAACTTTGTAACGCGAGGAAATCCTGTACAGTTTCGTCACCTTGCGAAAGATGAAAAAATAACTGTTTGAATATGAGGAACCTACTGTAGAGTTTCGTCACTTTGCGAATGATGCAATAAGCATCTATTATTAGACGACCCAGGCCGAAATTGAGACCGAGCATCTAATAATAGACCATTAGTAACGCTAGCATATTGCATCAGTCGAACTGATGTTTAAAACACGTCAAATAATTTTTGTATGTGTTAAAGAAAAAAATCCTGTTCATTTGTGTCACTTTAGCGAATGACGAAATCTGCATCATTGTATGCTATTTGGCACGCTGGGTTATCCTATGAGCACGATGGCGCCTGTTAGTTTTAAGGAGCCAGGGGCCTTACGCTGCGCCTCTGCGGTAGTGTAATTGGGGGGTGGGGGGGGGGGCTCCTGAGAGCGCCCCTCTACGTCCCTGACATATGGGTGGTCACTGAAGTGTGTTCTACCTAATTATTTCGGTGAGTGATTAATATACACTCAAGATTTTCATGCGGTAGTGTAGGAAAACCCGTGTCCCGATAATTATTATCCAAACGCAGGCAATGTTGACATTTAAATAACACAGTTTTAGAAAACAAGGTGATGCGTCTAAGAACATATGATTGGTAAAGCATTGGTGATATCCTTCTAATATATTTCGTCAGACTTTATTCTATCCCCGCGGCAACGCGCGGGGGACGGGTACGCTAGTTTTCTTTAAAATAAAATCATGATATGATGAATGTTAACTACACGTAGGCTAGGGCCTAATGGTTTGGATCTACATTGGAACACTGCGGCTTTCTGATTGGAGGATGCTATATTCTTTATATAGGCCTACATCAGAGGCGTAGGGGGTGCGAACCGCACCGGGTGACACCATTTAGGGGGGTGACACCAAGGCAAAAAATAGCAAAATATAGAGAAAAATGATAATTCAACTTAATTAAGTGATTAATTCGAGTGTTAAATAGTCTTTTAAGAGGTGCGAATCGAAAGTTTGAGGGGGGGGGGGGGGTGCAAATCGAAAGTTTGAGGTCTGTCCGGTGTTTTATCCAGACTTTTTTCTCCGGGGGCACTTGAAATTTTCGGGGGGGGGGGGGGGGCGGTAAACTTTCTTCGGGGGGGGGGGGGGGGTGGGCCGACACTGTTAAAAGTATATATTTTCTATATAAATTATATAAATTTCATTCCGTTCGGGGGGGGGGGCGGTAAAAAAATTTCCGGGGGGCAAAGCCCCCCCCCCCCCCCGAAGAGATGCCAGGAAGAAACTCTGGATCTGTCCCCGGGTCGCTACGCCTCTGTGGGGTGACACCATTAAGTGCCACACCGGGTGACACCCGACCTCACTACGCCACTGACCCAGGGGCGTAGCTAGGGGGGGGGGGCGGGGGGTGCGGACCGCACCGGGTGACACCATTTAGGGGTGACACCAAGGCAAATAATAGCAAAATATATAGAGAAAAACTTGAGGGGGGGTGTAAATCGAAAGTTTGAGGGGGGGGGGGTGCAAATCGAAAACTTGAAAGTTTGTCCCCGGGAAGGGTCGCAACGCCTCTGGGGGGTGACACCATTAAGTGCCACACCGGGTGACACCTGACCTCGCTACGCCACTGCACTGACCTACATTATAGTCATTATGATAGCATACTTCCTAAACTCTAAACTAATAGGCCTATATTGATTGCTTTTTACTCCAAATTGGTCGAACAATGCATTTTTCCCAACCAACCACCTATTCATAAATGTAGCCGGCGTTAACCTTACACTTACATCGTTTCATCACAATTCTCAAGTCCAGTTCTATTAGATGATAGTTATTTTTTTCACATTACAATTCCTGAGAAATAACGACGTTTGTTAGGGCTAGATACTGTACTAATTTACTAACAGTTATCGGGTTTTAATAAATTAGTTTTTTTAGTCGGAAATAATAATTTTCTTTTAATTTTATTTTTTTTTAAATATTAATTTCAGGGGAGTGTACTCTGAAAAACACAAAAAGTTCGTAGTCAAAGACAACGGATTGTTAGAAATGAAGTGGTTGCTCTAGTTGCCAAATATTAAAGAACATTTTCATAACCGTGTATCACCTAGAATAAATTTTCTATTTTAAGTTAAGAAAGACTAGAAGTTTAAGAAAAAGGAACAATAACTACAATAAACAACTTAACAATCCTGCGTATATAAAAGCTACGGCTTTACTTTACAGTGTATGCCAAATAAATTCTAATTTTAGAGTAATCTTCATCAGAAAATGAATATCAAAATTGATTTAAATTCACCAGTGTAAATTAAGTCTACTCAAGATAATCCATTTTCAATACTATAATTAATATATTTACAATAATAGGCCTAACTGATTGTATTATCTTTGATAAATGATACTCTTAATCTCAATTTTGATGGTCGATATATTGTATATCACATTTAGTTTTAGGCATAGGTATTTATTTTATAGTGCGATTAACTTTTAACAAAGTCATGCATCTACTGTATATATTATATTTTCTTCAGCTTTATTACTGTTAGCTGAATAAGATGATAAAATGTTCGTAAATATTTATTTGATTAGGCCTAAGTTTAGTTGTTATTGTTTTTTTTTTATGTTTTTTTTTTGTTTTTTTTTTAGCGTAGGAATAGTTTTTGAAAATCAAAGGTGTACTTTGCTTAGAAATATTTTGCGCTTGTATATTCGGGTAATTATAAAGACCATTGTAGAGTCAATGGCGACGAAGGCTTGTAGAACATCCACAACAGCCCGGAATCAGCAGGGCTCGAGCCATTAGCATCTATGCATTATCCTTTTAAATATTAGAAGATTTGAAGATGACATCTCTTACGTTTTTCCCACAAGGAGATTTTCTGAAATCAACCCCTCCCTCTTGGGGTACTGGACGTAGTGGAGCGCAAGATCTATGGATTCCTCGCGCCCCAACTTGGCATGGAACGTATGTTGAAAAATATGGGGGAAAATCAGCTGTGTGACATGACTGTTACACAATCCTATTTTTTGTTTCTTTATTTTACTAGATCTATAGGCCTACGTGTAATCATCAAGTTCTGTGAACATTTAATTAAGACAAAATCTGAATTAGAATCAATGTCTTTACTTTTGACTAATTTAATTTTGACCAACAGTAACACAACCATCATAGAGGAGCTTACACTTTTCGGACACACATAGCGAAAAAACGCAACGTAAAAATTCCATGCGGTCTCAATCAGTAACCGCTTAACATAGAAAACAAAAAAAAGTATCATATCTATCCGCAACCATTCTACTTTAATAATGTGTGTGTCATTTTGTATTCATACGCATAGAACTTAAGCTATTCTTGTTATAGTGACTGGGGGGTCTTAACGTGTGTTCGAACACATGTAATACAGTTTTACATGTGTTCGGACACCTTTACCCGTCATCGGACATAGCACTTTTTGTTCATTTAGAATAATTTAAAGTCAATTTAATGAATAAAAACATATATTATATGCATTTATATTGTGTTATTGATTGTTTGTGAGGTAATTTTAATAGTATAAAACCTTTTTCCCACACTCCCAAAGTTCATCCCATTCAGCCATTGCGGCTCGCGCAGTACGCTGCTAAGCCAGCCAGGTCACATGATTCCCCCTCCTCTTTTGCATTCCACTGCCTTCTTGACCTTATTTTGACCCTTTCCCTTCAATAACCAGCCCCTTTTATGCTCTAAATTCTTATTTAGTAATATTTTTGTGTTGGTGTCCGATCCCATGTAAGGCCAAATAAGTTAGCGAACACCCCTTTTTTATTGTTCAAGCACAAAAAAACCCATTAACCTTGACATTTACGATGTTCCATACATATATAGAAGCTATTTATAGTGTAACCTTTTAGCTAAGCATTGATTGGTTCAAGTTTTGCCCCTAAGTCCAACCCTAGGTCACCTCATCCGGCTGGTGTAAAAATAGAAATGTGCGTACCATGCAACGTTAAAAAATTTCTAAAAATAATTCTTGAGAAAGGAAACGGAAGTACTTGACACGGAAGTGTTCATAAATGAACAGTTTACGTGCAGGCGCCGTGGTTTCGCGTGAGACATGCTAATTAAAGTTTCTATGAGCCAAAAACCGACGAAGTGTTCGCTCCTACGTAATTTTTTTGTGTGTCCGAAAAGTGTAAACTCCTCTAGTAGTTTGGCTCTTGGGTGTGGGCTTCAACCTAAAGTGACAAAACATTGACTATATACTACTAGATCTATATACAGGAAAAACAATTGCAAAACGCAGAAACATGTTTTTCTTGCATATCAAAATTAATATAGAAAATTGCTGCAGGGGGAGGAAAGCAGTTTGAAGTCATTATTATTAGCCTAATATTATTAGGGAATATTACCTCATTGACATGTAGGTCCTAATGATTAAGAGTGCTTACAAGGTGACAAACCAAACTTTAAGGAATAGGCAATATTTTTTTTTCATGTCTCTTTCAAATAGGGCCTATGTAATAATACAAATTCAAGTAATTTTAGCTCTATTTGTTTTTATTAATTAGCTGTACATCCCACACTGCCAATAAGCCCCTTGTCTCAAAACAAGCTTAATCATATGACACAACACCTGGTAAAACATTTTAACATAATTTTTCTTTAAACATTTAGAGGGCTGCCATCAGATAATCATTACCAAACCACATCCCTCAAGTTGAGTAATGTCCGTGCAAATGACGAACTGTAAGTCATTTAAGGTTTACATCATTGTGTTATTTGTTATTTAGCCTCACTGATTGTTGGCCTATATCATACCTAGTTTGGCTGATAATGTAAACTTCCCCTCAGACTTAAACCTAACATTAATGGCTAGTGATTCCTGCTATGAAATTATGTGATTTTAGGTCTTGTTTTTTAAGTATATTAAGAATTTTAATTAATCTGCATATGAGTTCTTAAAGTATGTTTCCTATTTTATCTTTAGAGTTCCAAGACCCCAGTCTGTCGACATCTCGTAAGTATCCTTCTCTGCTTTCAGTTGGTATTTGAATAGGCCTGTATGTTTTCTAACCAAAAATTCAAAATCCTCTTTGAAAACTCGACTTTGACTTGTTTTAAAGTTGGTGAAGAACACAATGTGCCAGTCACTTCATTTTACCATTAAAAGTTTACTTTCATGTAAGGATCTTAGCAATAGTTTTGAATTTTATTTTGAATTTTAGTTAAGTGATCAAAACATGGCTGTAGGCCACCTGTGTCAACTTGTCTGTGTAGCTTTTAGTCCCACTTTCCCCTATATTTAAGTAAGCTGCAAGACTATTGTGTGACCTTGTTCTTAATAATTAGAATATTGATCTACTAGAAATTTGCCAATCTGCATCAGGATACTTTTCATTTAGTATAAAATTATAATATTTTGAATTTGCTTTTATTTAGTATTTTTAACTTTTTAAAAATTCTGTTTAATTAAATTGTTTATCCATGCCTATAATTTTTATGTATATGTTTGTCACAGAAAGCTATGCATCAACAAGCCCTTCCCTGCAGAGCATCCCTACAACTCTCACATAGAGAAGTTTGCTATTATCCCATCATTTGTCTCCCCACAAGATCCCAAGAAAGGAGCTGATCGCTCAAAGCCTATCAGCAGTGAGATGCCAGCTAATCCTTATGACACAATTTTGGTGAAGAAAGTTAAAGGTAATATTTGGGTTCATTGTGTCTGGACTGGATTTATTATGCAATTTATTTTCATTTATGCATGTTATATATTAATGGTAGAAAAACATATTTATTGCTTTTTTGTGTGTTAGGTTTCCCTTATAGGGAAGAAAAGTTGTGTTTAACCTCAGATGGTAACAAAAACCCTCTTCATTGGGTTGGAGAAAACTATTTTGATCAGGTATGCTCTTTAAACATGTATCTATGGTACAGTAATATGGTTCATAAGTAAAACCTAGCGTGTTTGAAAGGGTACTTTACTTTTAGTAGTTTTTTTTGCCAGTAAATTTCTGTGTCTGTCAAATTGAATATTCACTTAAACTTTAATCATTTTTAAACTTATATTTGTACTGATTTTCAGCAATCTAAAGTGCATGGGAACAAGCAAGTGTATTACCCAACACCTATAAAGCAGATAGCTCCAAATCTTCAAGATCGTCCACCTGAGCTTCAGGTGTCCCAAAGAACACAGAATGCCTTAAGGAATGTTGAGCGCAACCAGTGGATCACAAAACACCAGATGGACTTCACAGGTTTAGGCCCATCCAATCCGATGGCTCTGGATAATCTGGATTGTAAAAATTCTAGATCTCTGCTGACGGGAGAGTTAGATGAAAAATTGGTATGATAAATCTTCAATTGCCTTTATATTTAAAATATTTTATGCTTTTATATTCTAAACCTCACAACAACCAACCAATAAGTTAAAATTTTATCGACCCCACCTATAAAAATGTTTAATTTAGTTATGAACTATGTTATTGAGAAAAACAAATGTGTAATAAATGTGTCATCATCTATATAGATTTTGTAATTATCTTTTAATGTTTAACTGTTTCAGTATCCTTGTACCTTAAACACATTTGATCCAGCTCGACCATTAGAAGGCAGGATGCGTAGATTGTTTGCTCCAAAGTCAGCCCAGCAGATCTATTTTGAGAGAGGTTTCTCTGCAGAACCTTCTACGCCTAGGTGAATTTTATGAAATAGTTTTCTCACTGCTAAATAAATTAATAAGCTCACTACAAATACTGGAATAATATAAATTAATGAGCTCACTGTAAAATTAAAATACTAATTTATGATTTTCATTGCTAAATACTATAATAGTACAATTTAATGATCTCACTGTAAAATAGTATTTCTTGTCCAATCATCTTCTCTGTGTTTGTTCTTTGTCCTGGCAATAGTCAAGCACTAAAAAAATATTTCTGTCTCTACAACTGTGTTAAGAACAATGACTCAGTTTGGGAAAAGTATAATCTGTTAAGAGAAAAAACTATTTAGATTTATATAAATCTCTTTAGAAAAATAAACACCTAATTTATATTAATTTGTTTATAGAAAAAAAAAACATCTAGATTTATAAATAAATATAAATTTGTTTAGAAAAATGACTATCTAGATCAGTGGTTCTAAACCTTTTTGGAGATACCAAATTCCACTATTTTCATATATGCATTCACCGAACCATTCTTAATAATAGTTCTATCACAAACACTGACAAAATCCTATTGTAAATCATATGATCAAACTAAGGTTTAGAACCACTGATCTAGATTTGTTTAAATTTGTTTAGAAAAATGACTTTATGATATTTCTGTTAATCTGCTCAGAAAAATGACCATATCAGAGATTGAGGAAGATCGTCTGCTCCACGGAAAAGACTATGTCAATTTGCCAGAGTCTTACAACGCTGCAGTAGAAAACACAACCTGGCATTGTTCAAATGTAAACAATCAACAGAGCTCTAATGCTGAGGATGTACAGGAGGAGCAACAGGTCAGGGATTTCTTTTAATAGAATTACAGTTCAACTAGTTAAACAGTTTTTAGCACAAGAGGAGTTGTTTTGTGAATTGAAACGTAATGGGAGATTATCTTTCAAAACAAACTGAGGTGTGCCAGTATCAGAACTGTAATCTTTGTGGCTGTTTGATAGAAGAGAAACATAGAAACATCTCAGATATATTGAGCACATTTAACAGTTGTAATGTTGGTGACTATTTCTTAGCAGATAAAGCTCACATATAGACTGAACACAAAAGGAGTAGGGATTCTTCTTCTTCTTCATTCTTAATTTTTAGTGTTGGAAGTGATCGAGCCTTATCTGCCAGAAGGTTTGAACTGGAGACTTTTTAAAAAATTTATCAACCATGAGCTTTTGCCGACTCGGCAGTAGGGATGATTTTGGGTATTCGCTCACTAATAAATTACACAAAATAATAGTATATTTATTTGATTCAAAGCTGGTTGCTTTCTAGATGACTAATGTTTTTTAACGGAATTTACCACATAAACACAGGGGGTGCTACCTAAAATTAATCGTATTTTAGTCTTTGAACTTGGTGAAGAAGTACTAGTTTTTATTTGCCTATTTGTAAATAGATCCTTTTAACCCGAGACTGCTACAGACAGAAGAAATGAGACATGTTTTGTTCTAGTTCAGTCTGTGATCCTGTCTTTCACAGGCAGCAAACACTGCAGCTTATGAGGAAGGATATGTGGACTACTTGACAGGTCAGAAGGAAACCATGGACAGAAAGATTCAGCAAATGGAAGCATCAAGCAGGTGGAAGCTACTTGAAAACGGGACCCCTGCCCATGATATCATTCAGCTTAGGGTGAGGCTTAGAGTTGGTTTATGAAAGTCGATGTTGAATGAATAATAAATAGTTGATTTAGGAAGTTGATTTTCAGTGAAAAATGAATAGTTTATTTATGATGAAAAAAAAAGGTTTAATGCATTTTATGATTTATTTTTCTTAAAAATGCAAAAAAAAATGTATAAATAGTCGATAAATTTTCATCATTTGATGTAAAAAATCAACTTTTAAGAATAAGACCAAAAAGCTGCAAACTATATTTAAAAATGTTTCTAACATCTTTATTTTTAAAAAATTCAGTTTCTTTTTATTTAAACAATATTGTATTTTGTTTATTTTTCTACAAACATGCACAGGATACACTCCTTGATTACAACCATAATAAATTGTGCCATTCCCTTTGCATTACAGGAAAAATTTAAAATTCTTAAAGACAAAGAAATGCCGTCAACGTTCTACAAGCATGAAGGGAAGTACAACGAGGAGAGGGCCTTGTTGTACAAGACCAGCTATGACCCCCACCAACTGGCGTACTCTATGAACTCCCAGCAGCTGAGTGGAGGGACTTTGTTCAACACCAGTATGTCACATGTTGACGCCAGCAAGTATCCAACTGTGTTTTGGGAGGAGACTGATGCAGCATTGAAACAAAGGTAATATTAGAACACCTGTAGGTAGAACATCCAGATGTAGATGTAGGTAGAACATCCACATGTAGGTAGAACATCCAGATGTAGATGTGGTTAGAGCATCCAGATGTTGGTAGAACATCCAGATGTTGGTAGAACATCCAGATGTTGGTAGAACATCCAGATGTAGATGTGGTTAGAGCATCCAGATGTTGGTAGAACATCCAGATGCATATGTAGTTAGAACATCGAGATGTTGGTAGAACATCCATATATAGGTAGAATATCCAGATGTATATGTAGTTAAAACATCCAGATGTATATGTAGTTAAAACATCCAGATGTATATTTAGTTAGAACATCCAGATGTTGGTAGAACATCCAGATGCATATGTAGTTAGAACATCCAGATGTATATTTAGTAACAACATCCAGATGTTGGTAGAACATCCAGATATAGGTCAAACATCCAGATGTATATGTAGTTAGAACATCCAGATGTTGGTAGAACATCCAGATATAGGTAGAATATCCAGATGTATATGTAGTTAAAACATCCAGATGTATATATAGTTAGAACATACACAGGTATATGTTGTTAGAACATCCAGATGTATATGTAGTTAGATCATCCAGATGTACATGTAGTTAGAACATCCAGATGTATATGTAGTTAGAACATCCAGATGTACATGTAGTTAGAACATTCAGATGTATATGTAGTTAGAACATCCAGATGTATATGTAGTTAGAACATCCAGATGTACATGTAGGTAGAAAATATCTAAAATTAGACAACACACGGGTCATCCATCATGATGTCCATTTATGCTCAAACTGCCCATCTTTTGTCAGTGGCGTGGTCGAGTCGGTAAAGCTCATGGTTGCTAAACCGAAAAGTCTCGAGTTCTAACCCCCGGGCAGATGAGGCTCGTTAGCTGGGGACAGCCACTCTTCTAGGAGAGACAACTCCAAAATTAAACAACTGCTGCCTTGTAGTTTGTTCTTGGTTGGACAAAGGCTATGGAAGCAAATCCAAAAAGAAAAGCAGGCTGAAATCGGAGTCAATGGCCTCAATGACGCATAACCAATTGACACGTAACGCTTAATTGTGTTGGAGGCATGGTCGGGCCGGCAAAAAGCTCATGGTTGATAAATTCGAACAAAGTCTCGAGTTCAAACGCACTGGCAAATAAATCTCGATCCCCTTCTACACTAATAATTAAGAACAAAGAAGAAGAAGAAGGTCAAAGGCATTAGTGTCCTCTACTTTCACAGGAAAAACATCCAAAACTAAATCTAATAAGAATATCAAAATTTACCTGAAGCTAGAACAGAACATCCAAATGTACATGTCATTGAAGCATCCAAATCTATATGTACTTAGAACTGGTATTAGAACAAAACCCAAACATGCCTGTTTTGATGGATAATATAAGAACATTAAATTCTAAATGTAGCAAAATTAATAAAGCTAGATCCTTCTTTTCCTGTTTTAAGCTATGCTACATAACAAATTTTTAATTTTCATTTAAGCATAATCAAGTGAATGGGGCCAAGCACCACATTTGTTTCTAATGCTTGTATCTAATTTATAAAAGAATTTAATGTGTGTAATCAATTTAAAAATATTGTATTTTTTCAGTTCTACAGTAGTTTTCAGGAACAATGAGTTGAGTGGAGACCGGCCGTCAACAGATGATATGCTCCTACCTTACAGGGAAACTGTGGCCATCCAGAGATCAATGCTACAGCCTAACGCAGTCACAGCCAGCCCTAGAGTCCAGGCAAGTCATCTCAATAAAATTATGGGGGTCAGCGTGGTCAGGCAAGTCATCTCAATAAAATTATGGGGGTCAGGCAAGTCATCTCAATAAAATTATGGGGGTCAGCGTGGTCAGGCAAGTCATCTCAATAAAATTATGGGGGTCAGGCAAGTCATCTCAATAAAATTATGGGGGTCAGCGTGGTCAGGCAAGTCATCTCAATAAAATTATGGGGGTCAGGCAAGTCATCTCAATAAAATTATGGGGGTCAGCGTGGTCAGGCATGTCATCTCAATAAAATTATGGGGGTCAGCGTGGTCAGGCAAGTCATCTCAATAAAATTATGGGGGTCAGCGTGGTCAGGCAAGTCATCTCAATAAAATTATGGGGGTCAGCGTGGTCAGGCAAGTCATCTCAATAAAATTATGGGGGTCAGCGTGGTCAGGCAAGTCATCTCAATAAAATTATGGGGGTCAGCGTGGTCAGGCAAGTCATCTCAATAAAATTATGGGGGTCAGCGTGGTCAGGCAGGTAAAACTCTTGGTTGTTGAACTGAAAAATCCCTAGGATTTCCCTAGGAAAATGAGGCTTGATAGCTATGGGCACCACTGATCTAGGAAACAAAACTCCAAAATCAAACAACTGCTAAGGGGTCGGCGTGGTCGAGTCGGTAAAGCTCCAGGTTGCTAAACCAAAAAGTCTCGAGTTCGAACCCTCGGGCAGATAAGGCTCGTTAGCTGGGGACAGCCACTCTTCTAGGAGAGACAACTCCAAAATCAAACAACTGCTGCCTTGTAGTTTTGTTCTTGGTTGGACAAAGGCTATGGAAGCAAATCCAAAAAGAAAAGCAAGCTGAAATCGGAGTCAATGGCCTCAATGGCGCATAACCCGTTGACACGTAATCCTTAATTGTGATGGAAGCATGGTCGAGTCAACAAAGCTCATGGTTGATAAATTCGAAAAAAGTCTCGAGTTCAAACCCTCTGGCAGATAAGGCTCGATCCCTCCAACACTAAAAATTAAGAACCAAGAAGAAGAAGAAGAAACAACTGCTGCCTTGAAGTTTGTTCTTTGATAGACAAAGGCTATGGGGACAGCAACCCATCTAGGAGAGAAATTCCAAAATCAAACAACTGCTGCCTTGTAGTTTGTTCTTGGATAGGCAAAGGCTATGGAAGCAAATCCATGGAGAAAAACAGTCTGAAATCGGAGTCAATGCCCTATATGGAACATACCATTTTGACACATAATACTCAATTGTGTTTGAGGAAATTGCTTCCAACATTACAATTAAGAATGAAGAAGAAGAGTCTCAACATAATGTCATGTAATTATCCTGTAAACATAATGTAATCTCTCAGTGCAATCAGTAGGTGATAGGTAGTGCATCACTAGTCAAAAATATTTTGGTTGTTTTTTGTAGTGCTAGAGAAGGTCAAATGAGGTTTAAAATTTTGAAGCTTATAACAATATCTAGACCTGACCATTACCCCAGCTCTCACCTTTCCTTAAAAACTAATCCTAACCCAAACAAAAAATTATATTGTTTTGATATCTCAGACTTGGCAGGACCAGTTTTTCATTTAAAATTTTAAAATTTACTTTGCTAAAACGGTGCTCATAGAATGGTGTGGCCTAGGGATAGAGTGCTAGACTGCTAACCCAAAAGTCTTAAGTTCAAATCTGTTTCCCTTAGTCTACTCAGCACCTGATGCATACCTAACTGAAGTATAGGTAAAGTAAAGCCGGCTGGGCATAGTGCTGACCACACTATCCCTTCATTTGCATAAGTCACAGAAACAGGTGAACTCTACTTCACTTGCCCTATGGACCACCAGGTTTGAAAATGGAACTTTACTTTAAAAATGTGATTTCATATTTTGTATTTATGATACACATGGAAATTACTATTTTCAACTCTGAAAAGTTTTTTTTTATTTGGTAATTTCCTGAGCCTTGAATCACTAGGTTCTAGGAGATACCATTCAGGCTTTGTAATTCTTCACTTGTTCAGACAGGTAAGTGGGTTTTATGTTATCAAAAATATTTTGTAGATTTTTATTCTTTTTATCACAGGAAGGAGGTTTTACTCTTAAAGAAACAACGTATGGAGACAATCATAACGCTCACAAGTTTCTGCAAGACAATCGATTGGACATCACCGCCAGACTGGACCCGTCCTACTTGATGTCACATGAAAATCAGAACCTTGAAAGGTGGGGAGGATCTCTTTTTAAAACTTTCACCTAACTGGTTTTTAAAATTGTGATAACTCTGGTGGACAAAAAGTTATATTACATTGTCTCTGACACAGGAGCTGTAGGTTTTCAATTTGATACTAGTACACTCTACTTCCTGGATCACTGTATTCAATAAGATATGGATAAGTAATCATAAAGTAAAGTAAAGATTCTTCTTTAGACCTTACGATCCATTAGGCAGATGAAGTGGAGTTCATATGTTTCTTGACCTCGGCAGATAAAGGGATAGTGTGATCAGCACTATACCCAGCTGCCTTTACTTTCCCTAACGTGAGTAAGTATCCATCAAAGTTGGGTGGACTCAGGGATGTTCCACTAACTTCAACCCATATTTGAACTCAAAACTATCAGGTTAGCAGTCTAGCGCTCCACTTCTAAGCAACGCCTCCCCACAAGTAATCGTAAAACATATGACAAAAGTATTAATATTGGCAATTAAGATACAACAAACTAGGTAAGATACAAGGAGCAATGGAAACTGAAAAAGTTTCCGAAATAATAGGAAAAAGTAGATGCCGCGAGATGGGGCATGTCCAGAGGAGTTTCCAGGAATGGCGCAAAACTCCTCAAAAAAAAACATACAAGGAATACCTAGGGAGACAAGGGAGCGTATGGTGGGTCAGCAGCTGGCAGAGGCAGGACTATAATGGGGGACTGCCAGGAAAATTGCAGGAGACCAACAAATGTGGAGATAGCTTTCCATGACGACCCCATGTGTCTTGGGATAAGAAGATGAAACTAGGAAAAACTTTCATTTATTATAGGATAGGATTAATTTTTTTTTTTTTTTTAAATTGAATGAGTTTTAAGTATGAAATAATTTATTTTATTTTTTTTATTTAGTTGGATTAAATGTTGTTTTTTCTTTGAAGAACCCGTGAAAGGGCCACCCCCATACTGCCATCAATAAAAGGCAGTGGCTCGCTGAAGTCAGTCCACTTCTCAGATGATGTCCAGATCAGAAACATCATGGACAACATCCCTGTGAAAGTAGAGGACACTGTTGTAAAGCCACTGAGCAAAGATGAGCAGTGTGAGCTGGAACGTCTTTATGGACATCATGATGTACGGTGTATTTTTGTCTATATATAGATAACAGTGTGTGTTAGGTGTTTTGTTTGATTTTTAGATATTTTGTATTTTATATGTTTTGTTGTCTTTAGTTGGATATGTACACTGTTGTATGTTTTGCTGTTCTTAGTTTCACATACACAATGTTAACCTCAAATTACTGGAGAGTGAAAATAAGAGTTATTGATTTGTTAAAATATTATGGTATTGTTATGTTAGTTTGATTTCTATTTAATTTCTTTGAATTAGATAGTGACTATTATTTTATCTAAACTTTTGTTTGTTTAAACATTTATTATACTATTTATCTACCTTATAAAGTGAAAGTAAGGACTTTTACTTAAACATAGACCACACATCTCGGTTATAAATTAAGGACTGTTTTATTTAAACAATAGACTACATGTCTTGCTTATAAATTAAGGAGTTTTATTTAAACAATAGACTACATGTCTTGGTTATAAATTAAGGACAGTTTTATTCAAACAATAAACTACATGTCTTGGTTATAAATTAAGGACTGTTTTATTCAAACAATAAACTACATGTCTTGGTTATAAATTAAGGACAGTTTTATTTAACCCTTAAAGCGCGCACCACGTTGGCTTACGCATTAAAAGTTATGTAACAGCAAAGCCACGATCATGGCTTGGCGCACTTTCAGGGTTAAACAATAGACCACATATCTCGCTTATAAAGTAAGGCCTGTTTTACTTAAACATAGACCACACATCTCAGTTATAAATTAAGGACTGTTTTATTTAAACAATAGACTACATGTCTTTGTTATAAAAAATGCCTGTTTTACATTTTTCTCAGCCCACATCTCTGGCCTTTGACCAGAGCAAGCCCCCAGCCCCGATGAGCGGAATGACAGGTGACGCCAGGAACCTGGCTGAAAACTTGCTGGGGAAACCCCACGTCCCTACAGTCGTGGATCGCAATGTGACCCTGGCACTGAAGCCGTCGTTCGTCAGCTTCACGCGCAACAAACAGCGGAAGGTCACGCCTGTGTCAGAGATGGCGGACGAGTTCAGGAGTTTGTCGACTAATTTTCTGCCTCAGGGTGAGTCTTGTCTGTGTTTTCGTTCTTGTTAAACTGCTGGCAGGTTATATTATTTTTTTAGAATCACTAGCTTACTTTAACACTTTCCCAAACTACCTTAATCCTTACCTTAACTTTAAATAACACAGCAAGAATGAACAACAACAAGATATTGTATTATTGCACCAGCATTTTTTTACTTGCATCCTCCAAATTGTTTTTAACTTGTAGGCTTTTAATTGGCTTCTGTTTTCTACTTTGGCCAAAACCTATGAAACTGTGCTGTGTAGCTAGCTCTTAAAGGTTTATTTTAACACAGTAAAACCTGCCGAAAGCAGAACAGGATCATTCCAATCATTTTTTGTTGCACTCGACAAACTTTCCATCTTAAAAACGGATAGTGTTGTACTAGTGTAGATTCTTCTGTAATATATTTTCCATTTGTTCTTGTATTGGCAGGATTCTAGTGAATATTGACCTGACTTAAAATTTTTGTACCAGACAGAACAATCTTAGTAAAACTCATCAATTTAAGGGAAATAATCTTCACTCTCTAAAGTTTAAAAACAACTAATCAGCGGTATAAAAATTGTTCACACTCAGGTTGTCAAACTGCTCCGACTGCGAGAAGCTGCTACGCTTCACAGTTCCCATACTACGACCTGGGGGAGAAGAAGGACAAGAGATTTGATTGGCAGCCTGGAAAAGGTCACCTCAGGCCCCAGACCTGTTTGTCTGAGCTACAGGATAGTTTTATCAAATCTGAGGTAAGTCATCAAGATTTAGATGATCAAATCTGAGGTAAGTCATCAAGATTTAGATGATCAAATCTGAGGTAAGTCATCAAGATTTAGATGATCAAATCTGAGGTAAGTTATCAAGATTTAGATGATCAAATCTAAGTTGAGTCATCAAGATTTAGATGATCAAATCTGAGGTGTCATCAAGATTTAGATGATCAAATCTGAGGTAAGTCATCAAGATTTAGATGATCAAATCTGAGGTAAGTTATCAAGATTTAGATGATCAAATCTAAGTTGAGTCATCAAGATTTAGATGATCAAATCTGAGGTGTCATCAAGATTTAGATGATCAAATCTGAGGTAAGTCATCAAGATTTAGATGATCAAATCTGAGGTAAGTCATAAAGATTTAGATGATCAAATCTGAGGTAAGTCATCAAGATTTAGATGATCAAATCTGAGGTAAGTCATCAAGATTTAGATGATCAAATCTGAGGTAAGTCATCAAGATTTAGATGATCAAATCTGAGGTGTCATCAAGATTTAGATTATCAAATCTGAGGTAAGTCATCAAGATTTAGATGATCAAATCTGAGGTGTCATCAAGATTTAGATGATCAAATCTGAGGTGTCATCAAGATTTAGATTATCAAATCTGAGGTAAGTCATTAAGATTTAGATGATCAAATCTGAGGTGTCATCAAGATTTAGATGATCAAATCTGAGTTGAGTCATCAAGATTTAGATGATCAAATCTGAGGTGTCATCAAGATTTAGATGATCAAATCTGAGGTGTCATCAAGATTTAGATTATCAAATCTGAGGTAAGTCATCAAGATTTAGATTATCAAATCTGAGGTAAGTCATCAAGATTTATATAATCAAATCTGAGGTAAGTCATCAAGATTTATATGATCAAATCTGAGGTAAGTCATCAAGATTTATATGATCAAATCTGAGGTAAGTCATCAAGATTTATATGATCGAATCTGAGGTGTCATCAAGATTTAGATTATCAAATCTGAGGTAAGGCATCAATATTTAGATGATCAAATCTGAGGTGTCATCAAGATTTATATAATCAAATCTAAGTTGAGTCAGCAAGTTAGATTATCAAATCTAACGTAATTAATCAACATTTTGATTATCAAATCTGAGGTGAATCATCAAGATGATTTTTCTATTCTGAATCTTGTTTTAAATTTTTTTCAATGATTGCTGAGGGCCTGCAAATATTATACATGTCTCAGGTTTCACCCATTGTTTAAAATTCACAATGTGGACCTCAGTGTGTAAGCTTTTTGAATTCTGTTTTTGGCATCTTCACAGAGTTATTTCTAGAGAGAAAACTACTTGTATGTAAATATCTGAGTGAGTTTAAAAAAATATGGATATTTCTCTAGGCTTAAAAAAATTACTATTTGGAGTCCATGAATTACTATTTTAATATGAGAGACTCAGGAAGTCCATACTGAAGCTTTTGCCCAGGTGGTCCCAGTTTCTGTTTGCCAGTGGGTTTTTTTTAAGAGCATAATTATATAGAAATATATACTTTTATGTGTGTCTCCCCCCCCCCCCCCCCCCCCCAACAAAAATAAGTAAATTTGCTACATATCTGTTTGTATGTGTATAAAAATAAGAATTTGCCTGATAAAGGTGAAATATTTGACATCAACCACTAATTGTGTTTTCTAATTTTGGCATTGATTTTCTCCTCTTGCATAGGTGCGTCGACGCTTCCACCACCAGTTCCCTGAAACTAACCCTGACCTTCGTGTCAACATCACCACTGGCAAGAAACATGTTTTCTTCGGCATGAATGCACAAGTCATTCGTGGATGACGTTTTCATTTGGTTCATTTTGTATTCTGACACTAGAATGTCAAGTTTTTATTGAATTAGGGAATGGTTTAAATGATGATCAAATTTAGCTTGTTTTAAGAATTTTTGTAATATAAAAGTTTAGGTTTTAAAAATGTGTGTGCCTGCTACTAACTTTAAAACCAAATGACATTCTAGGGTTTATAATACGTTGTTTTTTTTTGTATTGTATATTTTACCTTCTTGAAATTTTGTGTAAATTTTGCTCACCAATTGTTGTTAGTCATTTGCAAAATTCTGTGGAGATTTTCTTTGAATTTATTGTTTTATTTATTGTTTCTCATAATAAAATTTCACAGATATGTTATGATGAACTTGAAAGTAAAAACTTAGTTTTAAAAGACTAGATGCTACAAAAATATCTTTACAGTAATTGCACTAGATTGGTTATACATTTATAAAATTGTTCTGCTTTTGATATATGAATTATTTTTTCATTCTTTGCTTCCCTCTCTAGGACCCAAACAAGCCTTTATATCACCTCAGGTTGTGGATTTTACAATAAAAAGGTTTATGGAAACCTGCTGTTACCCATGAAATAAATACAAACAACTTAACCATACACACGTCTTTATTTCTGTTTTTCTTCCTAGTTTTTGTTGATTCTTTTAAAAGTTAATTGTTTTTTTCTAGCAGTTTCAAATCGATTCAAGTAAATTACATTAAACATTGTGACATTATGTTTTTGTGCTGTTAAATAATTTATATTTTTTTTTCAGTTTCTTCTTGATGAATTATAATATACATAATCGTTTTTTAATTGAGCTAAATATTTTAGAACAGAATTTAACTTCAAATGCTTTACAGAAAATAGCACTTTGCTAGACTCTACCCCCTTTGAAAGTCTTCTCTTTCTTTATTCATGTTTAATAACATTGTTGTCACATCACTATTTAAACATTGTCTTTTGTCAGATATCTTGTTCACAGATTTTTACATATGTGTTGTAAACCAGTATTATGTACAAAGTTCTCCACAGTCTACTGTCCTGGGTTTCAGCTAATTAACACATTTCATGTCGCCTTTAAATTCAACTTCTTCAATTTTTGATGAATTGACTGTTTTTTACATATTTATTGAATTTTATAAATTATTCAGCACTTTTGTCACTTTTGTGATATTTTATTTTATTCACATGACTATCTTTTGCCTTCTAAAAATTTAACAAACATTTTAAAATAAGTCTACACAGCATTATGTTACCAAGTTTCTATCTCTTGTGATATTTAAATTTTACAATGCTACAGGTTGCTCTTTATTTTTATCCTTCCTCCATGATTATTTAAACAGTATTTACATTCAGCATTAAATTATTAAGTGCCAATTATATTTGTTTAAAAATATTCATTTGCTTGTGTTGTATAATTGAACATGCTCGATGCTGTCTTAATAGAAGTGTATCTGTTCTTTTTGCTTTGTTCTTTATGATAAAAAGTATTATAAATTGTTTTATTCTTATGATTTGTTTATTAATAGCAATGGCTAACTTTGATTGTTTTTCTTTATTTTAGGTTTAGTTTAAAGTTTTTTTTAAAAGGAAGTGTTTCATAAAATTTTAATTTAGTTTTAGATTTCATCTAAGCAATGAAGATACTGTGGTATTAACTTTATTTTTATTTTAATGCTTAAACAAAACATTGTGTTCTTCTCCTTGTTCTTATGTGTAAATGTTGGAAGGGATTTCCAATCCAATACAATTAAGTATTACATGTCAACTTGTTAAGCACCATGTAGGCCTTTTTCAGCCTGCTTTTCTTTCTATATTTGCTTTCATAGCCTTTGTTCAACCAAGAACAAACCACAAGACAGCAGTTGTTTGATTTTGGAGTTTTTCTCGCCAAGATGGGTTGCTGTCCCCAACTATCAAGCCTCAACTGCACTGGGCTTTGAACTCTGGACTTTTCTGTTAGCAACCATGGGCTTTACATCTCAAACTGCGCCCCATAAGCATTGAGTTTAGATTATTCTAGAGTTACTCTAAATCATGTATAAAGCTCCTGAGGTTAAGTGAGATAAAGAGAATGCTCATAAATTTCTCGTTTCGTTGTGAGCCTTCTCAATATTATTGGTCACTTTACATTAATTTTTCTTCACAGCGTAAAAAACAACTCCTTCACAAAAATAATTTATTTTTCAATAAAAAATAGGTTCTGCTAAAAGACTTATTTTTGTTTGCTTTCACCATATTTAAAAATAAATGTATTGTGTATTTAAACAATTGTATAAAACACTTCATTGTTGGATATTTTAAAATTGATGCTCAATTTATCTTGTTTCTAGTTTGTATTTTGCCGATAAATATTTTCTTTCGCACAGTTGCCTTCATACTTTCTGTTTTTTTCATACCCAAATATATGTTGCCTTGACTGTGATATTATTGAATGATGCTTTACATTTTAACTTAATGCTGCTGTGATAGAACAAGATCTTACATTCCTAGTTTTGTTTTTTAAATAGAATTTTATGAATGTTTTACAACAATTAATAAATATTTGTAAAAAAGATATTTTGTCTTCATATTTTATTTTTATCTTCTTGGATTGGTTCATGTTTCTGTACAGCTAGATGCTGACTATGTTAAAGCATATTAAAACATGGAACTGCTTCGACCTCTGAGAGTTGCTAGTAACTGCTCTTGCTAGACATGAACAGAAACTATTTGCAGGTGCAACTTGTCTTAAAGTATAATAGAATTTTAAAATTTAGCAACTTCGAATTTTAAAGAAAAAGATAGGTTGAGTTTTATTCATTTTATAAAAATGTTTAACTAAAAGAAATATTCTTACTACTGTTCTGTAGTTTTTTTTTTTTTTAATTAATCTGAAATCAGTTCGATTTATTTAATAGAAAAGAAAAGTAGCAATGAAAGTTCTTGTATGTGTGTTCATGGTACTGATCAAAGCTATAATCATTAAAAAGGGCTAATTGTGCAACACCATAATAACTTTCAGTAGCCTATGCTTATCTTAGAACCAATGCAAACAACAAAGAAATGTATTATAATTACAAGCATTTTAACAATCGAAGGGAAGTAACAACATTATTACTTCATCAGGAAAGCTATTTTTTACGGTCTAAGGGAAGTAACAACATAATTATCATGACCGCGATTACACCGGTCAAAGGGAAATAAATCCTACTTTTTTTGTGTGAAAATAAACATTTAAAATTTATTTCTTAACAATACAGACACTCCCAAGGTCTAGGGGCTCCCTCCTTTCCCTATCAAAAGACAAAAAAGTCCTAGATCTATGTAAAGAGATAACCAAAAGTTTTTTCCTCTCCTTGAGCGGCAAATAACTAGTTATGCAGAAGATAGGTAAAAAAAAATTGAAAAAGCAGAAAAAATAAGGCCAGTAGTGTATCACAAATGACGAAGCACCGAACATTTCGGCAAAATCAAAATACTATAATCTATATTACTATCATTTAATAGGCTTTAAAGTTTCAGTTTTAAAATAGCACAAAATCTTCTACGCTTTAGAAACATCACTCCGTACATGCAGATTGTTGTGATAGTAATTAAAGGACACGATAAAATGCAGCTAATTCACTTGTTACTAACTTAATTTTAAAGTTTCAGAATTTGTTATGGTTTATGTTTCCGTCAAATTAACACACGCTTCAAATAATTATAGACTGTATAGAGTATAGATAGAGCTAGTAAAGATCATAGAATGTGTAAGGGAAGTAAATATAATTGTCTTTAAGAAAGAAAAATATATGCATTTTAGCCTCCCTTTGACCGTTAAAAATACTACGTTTAAATCTTGGTTTTTTAGTATTTTTTTTTAATTTTTCTCGGTTAATTTAAAACTAACTTTTTTAATAAAAGTAGAATAATACTGGATATAGATATCTATATTGAAAAGGAGAAATCAACCCAATGGTTTTAATGTAGGGCTTCTTAAGCTGTGACACTCTAGATTCTATGCCTTAAGCTACTGGATATAGATCTATATGAAGTCCCACAATGCAGCTTAAGTGATGAATAAGTGAAGACAGATTTTTAAAAAGTGGTTTTAGACACAGGTTAATATTTGTACCCAATTAATCTAAAAAATAAAATAAACTATGGAAATTAGTTAAACATTAAGCAGTGTAATTAATAGAACTATTTAAAAGATATTTTTTTCAAAAGCTATTAAAAAATATTATAAATTTCACGTATTGTTTTGTGTAAGAATGTATCGATCTATTTGACCAATGGAAGATTTTTAAAAATGATGTAAACAAACATGGCAATCATATACACTGGAGTAATGGCAAACGTTAGGCCGACTCTTTTATATTGCACACTAGTAGTTTTATCTACAGCTCTCCAAAATGTGCATTCGTTTATGGATATGGAAGAGTTAAAATCTGTATATTATGGCCTTGATATACTGAGTGAACCTGTCGTTGTTAGCAAGGTAACTGTGCTTCACTGGGGTCTTTTAACTTTTAAAAAAACTTTTAACTTAACAGACTTAAACTAAACTTGTTTACTTTTAAATTTAAATTTTTACTTCTGAATACTTGAAGATCTAGAATCTAGATTTACTTCATCAGACTAATTAATTAATTAATTAGATCTAGATCTAGAATTCTAGTTACTACTACTAACTACTCACTAGTTTAACTTAACCAGTTTAACTAGACTCTAGCTCTAGCTGTTGAACATATCAGTCAGTAGATCTAGATTCTAGATCTAGATCTATATCTTTAAATTTTGAACGAAATTTCTGCATTAAAAGTGGGCTGAAATTGAGTTTAATTAATTATTAATAAATAATTAATAATTGAGTTACAAGATTTGCCACAAACCCCAGACATTGCAAACTTAATTAATTAAAAGCTTGTAAAAATTGCCTTATGTGGGCAACCATGGTGGTAGTTTATGTGGACTCACCGATGACCCTAAATAAGTAAATATGTTTTTCTAATTGCTTGTTTTGGGTAAAAATAAGTGTCATTACTCATTACTATCATTTTTATGATGCTGCTTTTTTTTATTTATGAACTCACAGTGACCCTAAGTAAGTTTTTCATATTACTTGGTTAAGGGCATAGGTTCATTAAACTTGATTTAGGGCATAGGTTCATTAAACTTGAAAGTATGGTTGCAGCGGTCACATCATTTCATGTCGCACATTTTACCAAAACATCAAACAGAAAGGGTAGTTTAAATATTTTAATACATTTTGTAACATGTGATTATAAAACTTGATTAAGTCTTTTGGTTGATATTTAGAAGCTCGAGTCGCCGACCTGGTTCTCATGCAGAATTAATTCCCGGCCTTTACCCAAGGATGATCTTCTTCACTGACTCCATATTCCTTTTCACTACTATTAAATAGACATAAAAATTCAATTGTTTTTTTTTTACTTTGTAGCAAGTGCCCATTGGAGCGGTACATGTGACCTCAAAGTATGGACAACAGTATCAGTGCACATTCCCTGACCACACCACAGAGGAGAAGAAAAAAGAGGAAGAAGAGAAAATAGCTGTGGAAACTGGAATAGTAGAGATGCTGAGACCTATAGGGTTAAAGGACTGTCTGTTTAAAGTAGGTTTGAGACCTATAGGGTTAAAGGACTGTCTGTTTAAAGTAGGTTTGAGACCTAAAGGGTCTTTTTAAAGTAATATTGAGATATATAGGGTTAAAGGACTGTCTGTTTAATTTAGTAATATAAAGACCTATAGGGTTTAAGGACTGTCTGTTTAAAGTAAGTGTGAGACCTATTGGGTTATAGGACTTATAGGTTTGCGCTGATTTATCAAACCATGTTAACTGTTATTGTTCACTAGTTCTTTTTTATCATTACATGCTGCTCTCTGTCTTTTACTATATTTGTGAAAAAATGTATAAGCTCAATTGTTATTGTTAAATGTATCTTCTGTTTTTTAGTCAAAAGACTGGTGGAGTTATGAATTTTGCTATGGAAAATACATCCGGCAGTTTCATATGGAAGGTATATGTATAACTTATAAGAAATATATTTTTAATTATTATTTAATTATTTTCATCTTCATTATAGTTAGCTAAATTTTGGTTTATTATTGTATCTGATTTCCCTTGTTAGATATTCAGTCCTTTTATATAAGTTAGGTAAAAGAGAGTATTGTGGCTAATGTTAGTTTTTTTTTATTTAAAGATCTTTAACAGTACTATTAGCCAAGCTTCCCAATGTTCATGTTTAATCAACCAGTAATTATGTTTTCTTAAACTGCTGTATCACTTACATTACATAAAATTATGTTTTATTTTATGTATCTAATGTATAACTATAATAGTGAAAAGGTATTTTAACAATATTTTTACTACTCTAATTGTTGAAATGTTATTATGTTTTTCTGAACAGATGGGGAAATAAAAGGCAACATCATTTACCTTGGCTATTATGAAAGTGATTTTGATTGGAATAACAAAACTATAACTGTAAGCAAATAGCTTTTTTTTTCTAGTATTTGTTTAGGATAATTAATTATGTTTGCTCACGATTGACACGTTGCATTTCTACTACCATCTGAGAATTCATTAAAGAGCCAACAGAAAAAATAATGCGTGGTGGAATGTTGATTTCTAAATATTCACATATGCATTAACAGATAAAATACCTTCACATTAGACACCAATATCTTTGACATCATTACATTGACATTAGCACACACAAAAAATAAAGAAATAAGCCTCAAATTTTTACATAAGACATGTTCACAAAAATCAACATATAAGACACCATTACGTGATATTTGTATATAAGACAGCACAAAAAAACACAACATAAAGTAGGTTGTCACCCCCCCCCCCCCCCCCAAAAAAAAGACCATTTATTTAAGTGTCCATCATTATTGGTCAGCTCAATAGTGTTTCTTATGCTAGCTGAAGCCTAAGAGTTTCATTGACAGACATGAGGCCTTCATATGAAATTGTTCATCTTCATAAAAAGTAATATATTTACATACTGTATTTTTTCAGGATGAGAGGTTAAAAAGTAAAGCAACGCTACATCGCTATCACTCTCAGACCTACAGTATGGGTACTAAATGTGATCTCACAAACCAGATGAGGAGAGCTGAAGTCAGGGTAGACAACTCTCATTTTTTTTAAAAATGTCATAAAATGTTATTAGTATTAATTTTTCTTTATTCCTTTTTGTTTTAGTTTGTTCTTTATTTGTTTATTTAAGTCTCTATTTATTTATTTAAGTCTCTTTTATTTGTTTATTTTAGTTTCTTCTTCACCATTACTTAATTTCTTTAATTTTCCACTGTGTTTGTTTTATCTTTCTAACTTTTTTATAAACATTTATCCCAGTTCATATGTGAAGAGAACTCTGAAGATTATCTCGCCAGAGTGGATGAATCAGAGACATGTGTGTACACTGTGACGGTCATGACGTCAAGGATATGCCGCCATCCCTACCTGAAGGCACCAACTAAAAGAAAACCTGTCCCCATAACGTGCAATCCTCTGTTATCTGAGGGAGAGTTCCAAGACTACTTGTTTGAGAAAGAGGGTAAAAAATTCTTGTTTTTTTTTTACTAGCTTTAAATGTTAATACTACATGCTATTTTTTAATTTTAAATCGCTTGGTTTATTTTCACCAGTTTAATTTCTAAACTATGTGCCATTTCTAATTCTTAAATTGCTTTGTTTATCGTCACCAGCATTAAATTTTTAAACTAAGCGCAATTTCTAATTTTTAAATCGCTTGCTTTATTTCAATTCGTTTGAATTTCAATACTTTTCTAATTCTGAAAGTAAGAGAGTTTAAAGATTATGTTGCAATGTTTACAGAGCTGAAAAGAAAAGAAGAAAAACATTTTGCTGAAGCAAGAGCTGCCATTCTGAAAGAGGGTGAGTAACTAAAAGTGACCAACAGAGCCAAATGCTCTACCATTAGAATTTGACCACATCGACCCATAAAACGCACACTTAATATGTTTGAATTTGTGACTGACAAATAAAACAAGAATATGTAAATTATCCTAAAAAAAGTTTAAAAACATTTTTTCTCTTTCCATGTCTGTCCTTTTTAACTAATTTTATAACATTATAATTTGTAGTTACTCCATTTAGTAACAGATAACAGTACATTAATTGCCAGTGTTTGAATTGATAATTTTGACCTCTGACCTAATGTTTGAACTGACATTTTGACCTCTAACCTAATGTTTGAATTAATAATCTTGACCTCTAACCTCATATTTGAACTGCCATTTTGACCTCTAACCTCATATTTGAACTGACATTTTGACCTCTAACCTAATGTTTGAATTAATCATCTTGACCTCTAACCCAATGTTTGAATTAATAATCTTGACCTCTAACCTAAAGTTTGGATTAACATTTTAGATCCTGCTGTTGACCCCGCTAATATAATGACAGAAACTTTACAAAATGCTATGTCAGATGCGGCCAAAGAAATTATTGGTTTGTAAATTATTTTTACTAAAAATTTAATCAGCTTAGTACAATTTAAATTTTTATACTTTGTATGCGTAGATATATATTTTTATTTACTTATGGTAGACAAGAAAGTTTCATTACTGAACGAAAATGAAAATAGATTTTATACTTCTAATTATATATTTTTTCAGCTTTTTCTACTGATGAATTATTTAAAGATGAACATAAAGAGCCAATGACACAAGAAGAGTTTCAAAAACAGTTTGGGTAAAAGAAATTATCAACATTGTTTTATTTAATGTCTAAGCGATTTTGGTATTAGAATTAAAAATGTGAACATTGTTTTTTAAATAATGTATGAGTGATGCTGGTTATACAAGTTTATGCTGTATTCTCACAGCACTGATGAAGACCTTTGGAAGATGTATCTGCGTGGTCTAGAGATAGCTAAGCTGCAACAGGAGATGAAGATGAAAAAGTTAGAGAAGGAAGGAGATAAGCAGCCTGATGAGGATGATGAGATTATCTCTGAGTTTGATAAAGGTGAGTTGACAAGGAGGAGACGATGAATGCGTCCATTTGTTTAGATTTGTAGCTCCATGTGTAGACGTACTCTATTTTTTAGTCAGTTCATGGCTAACATAATTGGGTGGAGAGTACAATCACTAGCCTTTAAGTTTGTAGTCCTCTGTAACATATGACATCCATGATAGTTGAGAGTACAATCACTAGCCTTTAAGTTTATAGACCTAGGTCATGTATTACATCTATGATAGTTGAAAGAACAATCACTAGCCTTTAGTCCTCTGTAATGTATGACATCCATGATAATTGAGAGTACAATCACTAGCCTTTAGTCCTCTGTAATGTATGACATCCATGATAATTGAGAGTACAATCACTAGCCTTTAGTCCTCTGTAATGTATGACATCCATGATAATTGAGAGTACAATCACTAGCCTTTAGTCCTCTGTAATGTATGACATCATCAATCAAGGGGACTGATGATGTGAAGCAGACATTAAAAAAACTCTCAGAGAGTTGTTGTACACTTAGAACTGATGGATACCTGACATAATGGGAAAATTATAATAGATATTTTAATTTGTATATAGTTGGATCAAAGTCATCTTTTTAATTATGTACATGTCTTCGAAGTTGCATAAAGCCACTGTAGAATAGTAGATCAAAGAAGTCTTTACCTACTTTTCTTTTACAAAGATTAACAATAAGCTAAATATTTTTTTATCTGACAGAGATAGCAGCCATTAAAGCAAAGTTTCACTCATATTTTTTTTTATCTGACAGAGATAGCAGCCATTAAAGCAAAGTTTCACTCAAATTTTTTTTTATCTGACAGAGATAGCAGCCATTAAAGCAAAGTTTCACTCATATTTTTTTTATCTGACAGAGATAGCAGCCATTAAAGCAAAGTTTCAGTCATATTTTTTTTATCTGACAGAGATAGCAGCCATTAAAGCAAAGTTTCACTCATATATTTTTAGCACAATTTCCATACTGACAATTGCGATTATTAACTCGTTATTTCTGGATGGATGAATGTGTGTCCGCAGCTTTAAGTCATATCTCCTCCTCAATGAAGCAATATCGAGGACTAGTTCCAAAAGCAAATATGTTAAGCAAGTTCCAAGGATGATTGTGGGCCAAAAAAATTCCCGGAATTCCTTCCTGGATTTCCTGGAAAAGCCAAAAAACCTCAAAAAAATGCAGTGTGTGATGCCCATATCTTGGCAACCAGACCACTTAGCGACTTGAAACATTTACCAATCGATGCCTGCCATAATTTAGAACAATATTGCCGAAGAAAGTTTTCAAAAATATCCTTTCGTTCGGTCACAAAAAATTAATTAAGGAAATTGCGCTTAAATTGTCACTAGACTTTTTATTAACTTGTTTTATCTGACAGAGATAGCAGCCATTAAAGCAAAGTTTCACTCATATTTTTTTATCTGACAGAGATAGCAGCCATTAAAGCAAAGTTTCACTCATATTTTTTTTTATCTGACAGAGATAGCAGCCATTAAAGCAAAGTTTCACTCATATTTTTTTTATCTGACAGAGATAGCAGCCATTAAAGCAAAGTTTCACTCATATTTTTTTTATCTGACAGAGATAGCAGCCATTAAAGCCAAGTTTCAGTCATCGCAGATGAAGCTGTCAAATATAAAGAAAAAATTGACAGGGGACAGACAGTGGGAGAAAGAAATAGAAAATGCTATCAGAGAGGTATTCATTTGGTGCTGTTCTTTCATTTGTGACTGTTTGTGACTGGTTGTCTTCTTGCATTGATTCCATCAGAGAGGTATAAATCTGGTGGTTCTTTCATGTGTGACTGTTTGTATGTGACTGGTTGTCTTCTAGCATTGATTCCATCAGAGAGGTATAAATCTGGTGGTTCTTTCATGTGTGACTGTTTGTATGTGACTGGTTGTCTTCTAGCATTGATTCCATCAGAGAGGTATAAATCTGATGGTTCTTTCATGTGTGACTGTTTGTATGTGACTGGTTGTCTACTAGCATTGATTCCATCAGAGAGGTATAAATCTGATGGTTCTTTCATGTGTGACTGTTTGTATGTGACTGGTTGTCTTCTAGCATTGATACCATCAGAGAGGTATTCATTTGGTGCTGTTCTTTCATGTGTGACTGTTTGTATGTGACTGGTTGTCTTCTAGCATTGATTCCATCAGAGAGGTATAAATCTGATGGTTCTTTCATGTGTGACTGTTTGTATGTGACTGGTTGTCTTCTAGCATTGATTCCATCAGAGAGGTATAAATCTGATGGTTCTTTCATGTGTGACTGTTTGTATGTGACTGGTTGTCTTCTAGCATTGATCCCATCAGAGAGGTATTCATTTGGTGCTGTTCATTCATGTGTGGCTGTTTGTATGTGACTGGTTGTCTTCTAGCATTGATTCCATCAGAGAGGTATAAATCTGGTGGTTCTTTCATGTGTGGCTGTTTGTATGTGACTGGTTGTCTTCTAGAATTGATTCCATCAGAGAGGTATAAATCTGGTGGTTCTTTCATGTGTGACTGTTTGTATGTGACTGGTTGTCTTCTAGCATTGATTCCATCAGAGAGGTATAAATCTGGTGGTTCTTTCATGTGTGGCTGTTTGTATGTGACTGGTTGTCTTCTAGCATTGATTCCATCAGAGAGGTATAAATCTGATGGTTCTTTCATGTGTGGCTGTTTGTATGAGACTGTCTTTTAGTGTTTATCTGATTTTTAACATTAAAACATTTTATAAAACTTTTATTTTAATTATTCCTTATAAAAATATTTATTTTTTTAATTCAGAAAACTTTTAAAAAATTATTTTTTTATTAAGGCCGAAGAAGAACTAGGCGTTAAAGTGGACAGAAGCTTAATCTCAGGTCTGTCTGACACTATTGACAAACTGGTCAGCAAGATTCAGGACACTGAAGAAGGTTCTAATTTTACTGTTATTTATTACATGTTAACCACTTAATGCCTATACTATTTTTTAAACTGGTAAATAAATTTTGTTGCTGATTTTCTGTTATCTGTCACTGAGTTTAGGGTATATAGCTGATTTTAAAACTGGACACATGTTTTATTTTAATTAGGGTATGTTGCTAATTATCAGCATAAAGCACAATTGGACAAAAACCTTAATTTTTAGTGTTCGTTTACTATTTTTACTCAAATATCCATACACAAACAAAAAGCACTGAACAATAACCTATGCTAGTTTATTTCTACTTATATTGTTTTGTTGAAAACTTACTTCAAGTTTTGCACTGGACATGTCCAAAATTGGAAAAATTATTGTAAGTTAAATAAAACAAATTCTGTTATTCCAGGACTAACAACCATGGATGAAAACATCGGCAAAATTCAGAAAGGATCAAAGACTGTGACGGTTTCTAAAGTGTTAAAGAAAGTTGAGACCGCTGAAGAGGCTGCCTTGGATGATAATGGAGATGGTGTTGTGGAGGTTGAGGTGGAGGCAGAGGAATCCGTGGTGGGAGATGAAAATGTTGAAACTGGTGACGGTAATTTGGTTTTGTTTAGATTAACTGCCAGATAAACTGTAATCTTTCCTGCTGGTATTATTGCTGATAGGTTTAAGATAAGGGTCAGATATTAGCTGCAAAGAAAACACATCTTTAAAAAAGTTTTCATTATTTAAAGATGAAGCTAGGTTGTATTTTTTTTTTATACATTTCTTGGGTTTTTTGGCTAAACATGCTGTTTTTTTTTGTTTTTTTGTTTTTTTCATTTTTATGTGTTAAAATCTTTGAAACTTTCAAAAATCACAGAGAGATTAAATATGTTGGTGTATGGTTCATGCAAAGATTTGATTTCAAACTTTTTCATCTCCAGAGGAAGCTCAACAACACAAGATGCCTCCAGCTATACCAGAAAAGGATGGGGATCTGGAGGGTAAAATTCTGGCGCCACCTATGGAGGGAACAAAAGGTGAGACATTTGATTCCAGCTAGGGAGGGAACAAAAGGTGAGACATTCTAGCTAGGGAGGGAACAAAAGGTGAGACATTCTAGCTTGGGAGGGAACAAAAGGTGAGACATTAGATTCCGGCTAGGGAGGGAACAAAAGGTGAGACATAGATTCCAGCTAGGGAGGGAACAAAAGGTGAGACATTCCAGCTAGGGAGGGAACAAAAGGTGAGACATTCTAGCTAGGGAGGGAACAAAAGGTGAGACATAGATTCCAGCTAGGGAGGGAACTTAAGGTAAGACATTATATTCCAGCTAGGGAGGGAACAAAAGGTGAGACATTCTAGCTAGGGAGGGAACAAAAGGTGAGACATAGATTCCAGTTGGAGATGGAACAAAAGGTGAGACATTCTAGCTAGGGAGGGAACAAAAGGTGAGACATTCTAGCTAGGGAGGGAACAAAAGGTGAGACATTCCAGCTAGGGAGGGAACTTAAGGTGAGACATTATATTCCAGCTAGGGAGGGAACAAAAGGTGAGACATTCTAGCTAGGGAGGGAACAAAAGGTGAGACATTCTAGGGAGGGAACAAAAAGTGAGACATTAGTATCCAGCTAGGGAGGGTACAAAAGGTGAGACATAGATTCGAGCTAGGGATGGAACAAAAGGTGAGACATAGATTCCAGCTAGGGAGGGAACTTTAGGTGAGACATTATATTCCAGCTAGGGAGGGAACAAAAGGTGAGACATTAGTATCCAGCTAGGGAGGGAACAAAAGGTGAGACATTAGTATCCAGCTAGGGAGGGAACAAAAGGTGAGACATAGATTCGAGCTAGGGAGGAAACAAAAGGTGAGACATTATATTCCAGCTAGGGAGGGAACAAAAGGTGAGACATTTGATTTTAGCTAGGGAGGGAACAAAAGGTGAGGCATTTGACAAATTTTGGTCTGTTTCACAACAACTATGGTCGCCTTGTCTAAAAGTCAAATTTATATTCTACTGTAGCTTTCAAGCTATAGTAGGATTTCTTTTTTGTTGTTTAAACATTATTATAATGCTAAAAAATAAATCATTTGTATTGTCACCACCTAAAATATAAGAGCTTTTAGTTGAACATAATAATTTTTATATAGCACACAGTCATTATTTTATAACTTTTAAGACACTTGAATTTTTTTTATAACTGAGGTTCTTGAATAGCCGCTACTAAATACTTTCTTAGTTTTATATTTTCCTATTTGCGACTGTGTCACAGGGCAGAAAGATCCTCAGCAGGCAAGTGGTTTGACTATGGAGAGACCCCCTAAGATGACTAAGGCCAGACCCCCTGAGATGACTGGGGATAGACCCCCTGAGATGGATGACAGGTTGAAGTTCAAAAGCGAAGACAACCTCGAGGGCTCGACTGACCTGGCAGAGAAAGCTGAAATTAAAATCACCATCAACAGAGCCGAGGACGACGTCAAACTGCCGAAAAATGTACAGAAGCTTCTGGAAGAGAGCGTGAAGATGGAGCTCCAGAAACAGCAGCAACAAAACGGTTAGTCGTGGTTCTATCAATTTGGTTGTCATCATACACAAAATGTAGCTGAAGTAGAATTGAACTCAATTTTCGTACAAAACAGTAGTTTGGTTAGCACTGTACGCAGATAAATTTATTGGCCAAGTGAATTGAACCTATTCTTTTGGCTTTGTTGTAGTGATCTCTATCTCTTAACATTGCCATTCTGCGACAACCAAAATGAGCTATAGTGTTTTCACACACTGTCTAGGTGTGATCTTGAACAGAAGAGTTTCCATTGATTCATCCACCTAGTAGTTTCTTTTCATTAAATTCTATTCAGCAATTCACTGTTTTATAATATTAACTATATTTTACAGAGTTAATGAATAATAGTTAATAGAGTTTTTAAAGTCCTATGTTGAGAGTCAGTATAGTAATGCTATTCTCATTTATAGAGGAAATTATTTATTGATCAGTGTGTTTAATCTCCAATTCTTGATGTGCATCAGAATGTCTACATTATTTTTAAAATGTGAATAAATCCATATCTATAGAATAATCAATAACTTAATACAGTTTTTTTTTAATTAAATTTTTTAGTAATTAAAAATTGTTAGTAGTTCAAACAGTAATGTTAAGAACAATTTTTAAGTTATTCTAGTATTTATTTAAATATACAGTGGTACATCAACATAAAAGATTTTTAAACGAGCAAAAATTTGCTTTGACATACAAGCACAATTTGATAATATGAGTTACTGCATAAGTAGGTTTAACAGTTGCTATTCAAGAAACACACTGAAAAAGTTGCAACTGATTGTACATCAGAGCTGTTTACTTACACTTACCTAACTGATTTCTGAAACAAAACTCTTTGGACAGGTTTATTTTAATGGCTTGCGTGGAAAAGTGGGGTGACATTTTTTATGTTGTAATTAATTTCAATGAAAAAAAATTTCTTGTAGATTCGAGCTCGACATACAAGCAATGTTACAGAACTAATTTAAACTCGTATCTGGAGGTTCCACCGTATTTACTTTTGGTTTACTACACATATTAGTATCTTATTAAGCATATGTTATTGTTAGGTGACCTAAAGACACTTGGGTTTGATACTGATCATTCTTTTACAAAAGACAAGACAGTTCATGTTATCCAACAGGAGGATGAAGATGGGAAAACCAACAGATTTATTTTCGTTTTTGTAAGTATTTTGGTGTATCATGGGCAGACAAATTGTTCCATTTTTGTAAGTATTTTGATGTATCATGGGCAGACAAATTGTTCCATTTTTGTAAGTATATTCATCTGGTGCATTATGGGAAAACTAATTAATTTAGTTTTGTTTTTATAAGTATTTTCTTTTGGTTTATCATGGGAAGACAAATCGATTCATTTTTTATTTTGTTAATATTTATTTTTGTGCATTATGGGAACAAAAATTGGTTCATTTTTGTTTTTGTATGTATTTACTTTTGGTGAATTATGGGGGGAAAAATTGGTTCATTTTTGTTTTTGTAAGTACTTTGGTGCATTATGGGAAAACAAATTGGTTCATTTTTATCTTCTTCTGGCTTAATATGTGGAAAAACACAAAGTTTGCTTTGTAACTTATTTCTGCATGTGCATCTTTCAAGAAAATTTAGTTTAGTGTGTTAAGTCACACAAAATTATAAGTAAATCAGTCAAATAAATTTGTATTAAGTTTTAGAAATTAAAGTAAGTTGTTTTATTTTTATTATTCATAAGAGAAGAAAGAGAAAACTAATTGTTAATTGTTATTTTCATTGTATGTGACTTGAGTGTCACATTCAAGTCTTTCAGTCAATAATGCTGAGAATGCATAAATGCAACCCTTTCCAAATATAGTATTTTAAATTATTTCAATGAAATATTGATCATACATACAGCAATTATTTTTATGTAGATCTGTCCATCCATTACACCTAAATAAAATATTACTGTTAGTATTAGGGTTTATAAATTAAACATTAGGGGTTTTTTTATCAAAAAAGTTTGTTCTGCTCTAGTTTAAATATTGCATTATATTAAAGTATTAATGGTCATTTTTTACCTACTTTAATGAAGATAATTAGACATGTCACTAAATGTAGTTCACACACTTGACAAACCAGTTACAAATTTAGTCAATGTTTCTGTTCCTCAGGGCTTTAACACCTTCAATGATGAAACAGCAGAAAATGCCAGACAGTCATCTCTTGAAGAAAATTATGGTTTTGTTTACAAGTCCAAGAAAAATAAGCAGCCAAACAGTTGATGCAGATATGTTATTTATTTACCAGTCCCGATACAAACAGTGATATGTTACTTGTTTTAATTTTTCTTAACTTTTAACTTTTTTTTTTTTTTTGATAATATACAGTTTGTCTATGTGGTTTAGCTGTGGAAGAATTTTATTTATTAAACTGCTTCAGGATAAATTGTTTCATACATTGAGCTGAGCTTTTCTTAAACTACTTTTTAATTAATTATCTGTTAATTTATTAATGCTCTCCAATACAAATGAATGCATTGCTGCATGTATTATGCCGTACAGCTTGCACTAGACACCACTATTTCATTATGTGGGATCAGCTCCATGTATTCAACAATGTTTAAACTAAGTCAAACCTATTCTCATGAGGGAAAAATGAAATTTTTAATTCATAATTTTATTAAAATGGTCAATTTTTTTAATCTTCTTTTAGTTTTTTAAAAATGTTGCATTGGAAATGTAGTACATAAAAGGGAAAAAAATTATTAGGGTTATTTATTTTTTTCATCTATTTATACCCACCCTTTTTGTTCTTTCCTGCCTCATGTGGGTAATACAGTATTGGACAGCCTATGGAATCTATTAATTTATTCAATTCAGTGTTTAAGAAGATGTTCTTACACACATTTTTCCTTTTTAGCTCTATCTTGACTTGTGTGCAACAGCCAATTTCAATTAAATGTTTAAGATCTGATTGTTAGTCTAAGTCAATGATCGCTGTGGGATTTTAAATATAAAATATTTTTCAAAGAACAAGATACCAAACTGTGAACGGTTGACAAAATATTTTGGAAGCCCACATTATTTAACCCAGTGTTATGATCAAAGTTACAATTTTATCACATTTTGTTATTAGATATCAGTTTAGTAAAATGATTCTGAATGTACTAGTTATTCAGAAGACGGCTGTATATGTTTATTATTGTGTCAACATGTTACTAGTATCAGAAAACCTGACACAACTCTGACTGCCACGGATTCAGTATTTTAAAATGACACAAAATGCTTTCAGCATAAATATTGTCATATTTTTCAATATTTATATCATTTTGTTTATTAAATATCATTTTTTGGTGAGGGTTGTTTATTTATTATTTTTAGAAACTATTTTTTAAAACTATTAGAAGAAATATTTTGCAATGCAGACATTTTCCAATAGAATTTTTCACACGTAAATGTTAAAAGCATTTTATCAAAACATGTAAATATATGAAATTAAAAATCAAAATTAATTCTTTTTGACAAAAAAGAATCCTCCAAGCCAGTTTCTTTCAATTTTCTTTGAAGGGTTAGCCAAGCTGTCAGCTGTACCAGTTTCAGGGTTCTTAAATCTGAACAGCTTTTTGACTATATCGATAAGTGATAGTTTGTTTCAAAACTAAAATAATTAGATGATGTAGTATTCTATGTTTGATAGGCCAATAAAAGATTGTTCAGTAGCATTTCTAAGAACTCTGTACATTTTGTTTGCAAGCTTAACACCAATACATATTTTCTTTTTTTTTTCTTGATGATCTTCCATTGTTTTCTAATTCAACACATTATTAATTTAAAAAAGAAAGGTAAAAATGAATACTGCTTTATATTCACTAGTAATGTTGTAACCTCTAGTTGAAAGACCTTTGTCAGTTTGACAATAACATTGTCATATAATTTATACAACAACTGACAGATATTAATTTATTCTTGCATTCCATGTCGCTGATTTAAAGTGTCATTTTTGTTGCCAAGTTTTAAATAATAATGCTTTAGGCATGTACTGATGCATGTTTTAGGTGTTGTTATGAATTTAGAATCAGCCTGATATTTGTTGCTTTTTTCTACTTGCACGCAATAAGATTGTGTTTTATTACATGGGCCCACTTTCTACATTGAATAAATAGATTTATTCTGCAACATTTATTAATAGGATATTGCTGTAATTTGCTGTAAAATTTATATTAGAACACGTAATGAAATTAAAACAATTTCCTTGTATTGTTGAGAAAGTTCAATGTTTTAAATTTAAAATTTTAAAAAATTCCAACTAAGCAGCTTTTGAAATTGTATTTATCAGATGCATAGGGCTTTTTTAATATAATAATTTTTAAATTGTGTACTTTAACATCATGAGCTGTAGCACCATAATGTATAGCACCATGGATTGTTTCCCTTGGGGTGGCTAAATTTTATGATCAATGACCACTGTAACAGAACAAGTCTGTTGTCCACATTCACTCAGTTAACTAGTCTGCTACATAGCAGTTAAACTCTGACTTAACTAAATGCTACTCAAATACTACCTGCATACATGTTATCTGTAACATTGAAACTATGCGACTCAGTTAAAAGTTATTAAAATATGACCTGTACACATGAGTTGTTTTGATTTGATAGCTTGTTTACATTTCTACCTAAGTTTTAGAGCTGCGACTTACTCAAAACTTTTTATAAACATTAGTTGTGTTGTATAAACATCCTTTAGACAAAACACATTTCTGTAATAATAGTTTTGCCTTAAACACACACACACACGCACACCATCTCACACGCTTTAATATATTTTCTTATTAAAACTGCTGTCTATTCCTATTTTTATTTTTGTGTTTTATGTTCTAAGGCTATTTTTAATTGTTAAATTAGCCTAACTATAGTGATACAATATAAATCATCATTTCAAGCTTGAAAGGAAACATGTTTTTCAAATTCTTATATATCGCGTCTTTATGATTAACATACAATGTATTCTAAACACTCTTCACTCTGCAAAGAGTAAAATTTAACCAACGTTGAAAAAATTAGATAGGAACTGTAACAGTAATGAATTTACTGTTGTGTGACCTATTATCTCCCTTTGAATATTTAATTTTAGCCGAACAGCATTTCCCACAAGTCATTATCACCGGACACATAATTTGTTTTGTAATTACTTCAACTAATTAATCACGTGTGGACACATTGATAATGGTTGGGTTAAATTATTCCTTCCTTGTTTAGGGGGTCGTCCATTGTCAACGTCACGCTCCTGGGGGTGGGGGATAGGGTCCAGTGTTTCTTCCAGACTTTTTTCTCCGGGGGACACTTTAAATTTTCGGGGGGGGGGGGGGGGGACGGGGGGGGACACTGTTTAAAGTATATATTTTCTATATAAATTTCGTTCGGGGGGGGGGGGGCGGTAGACTGTCTTCGAAGAGATGCCTGGAAGAAACTCTGATAGGGTCGAATAGGGTCGAAATTTTCGTCGCGGAGGGAGGAAGGGGTGAACCCTTAGCTAGAAATATTTTGTATGATAAAAGTCCAGACAAACCAATAAGGTTTGTCAATAAAAATCCGTCACTCAAATGTTAATCCATGTAACCCAATCGTCACAAATCCCCCCCCCCCCCCCCCCACCAAAAAAAAAACAATTAAAAAAACGAGAACATAAAATATCAGTCTTCTACATTCATCATGGGCAAAAATGAGTGGGGGGGGGGGTCTCTGCCTTCAGTGTTGTTCGCCACTCACCAAAGGGGGAAAACCCATCTGTAAGGCCACGACACAATTCGGACCTACGAAAATGGAAGAGTATGGGGCAGTGTTTTTTCCAGACTTTTTTCTCCGGGGGGGCACTTGAAATTTTCGGGGGGGGGGGGCGGTAGACTTTCTTCGGGGAGGCGGACACTGTTAAAAGTATATATTTTCTATATAAATTATATAAATTTCATTTCGTTCGGGGGGGGGGGGGGGGCGGTAAAAAAATTTCGGGGGGCTTTCCCCCCCCCCCTCCCCCCGAAGAGATGCCTGGAAGAAACTCTGGTATGGGGGCCTAGAGAAATTATTTCATGCTCATCCAATCATTTAGTAGATCTATCCGGGTTATATTAATTTTATACGATGTGAATTTACCAGCGTTTGAACAAAGTAGGACTAAAGATTTTTTTTTAAAATCTGAACTTAGCGCTACATTCGATTTATCGATTCATCACTTCCCTAGGCCTGTTAAAAACTTCAGTTAGCTTTAGTCATTTAGTGGTTTATTTATTTATTTTTTGGTGAGAATGTTGTATAATAACAATCGGTCAAAGAAAAAGATTAGTATAATTTAGTAGTCTATGTCATTGTAAAGTATAATGAAGTATAATGTGATAGATAACAAACAATTGATATCAGTGTGAATCTATACCTGTTCAATGCTCGTTAGGTATAGTTGTCGTGGCCGAGTGGTTAAGGCGATAGACTAGAAATCTATTGGGATCTTCCCGCGCAGGTTCGAATCCTGCCGACAACGTTCTTTTTAGTTAATATAAATAGATAATTGAATTTATTAAGCCTTGCGGATTACATTACAATATACAAGTTTATTTCTAATATAATTGTGCAAATCATTTTCGTTTAATCTATACCTAATTTCATTTTGTTAATCAAATTAGTTTTATGTCGCTTTCCTTTGCAATCTCAAGATATCATATAATACAAGTGATAATCTTTCACTATTTGTATGTCTTTTACTTAAGGGAATTTGAGGGAATTTAGGCATAGATTATTAAGAAAAAACATACGTTAACAAGAGTCCAAGCCTAGAAAAGATAGAGTAGGTCTATACCGACATTTTTATAAGACAAACATTTCAACATACAGATAACTCCATTAAGACAATAACAATTCACTAACTTAATATCAGAATAACTGTGAATTCATGTTACATTGATTGCTTTAGTTCAGTGTTTCGTTCAACGAGAGAATTAAAATGAAATGTGAAACCTTTTATAACTCTTTATTAAATATTGATTGTCTTCGGCTATAAAAAAAAATACAAGCTCGATAATATTATCAAGCCGACTGAGTGAAAAATGCTTTTCGGATGTTATTGTTTCTTTTGACATTTAGAATACGGACCGAACTGTCGAAACAGGAAGTGCACATAGAGACTACCTGCATTGCATATTCTTGTTTCATATATGAATTTTTATTGGCCCTTAAAAACATTTGATGCATTTTGAACTACGTGATTGTATTGAATATTTCTTTTGTATAAAACTGAATTTTAAAAAAAAACTGGGGAAAATATAATTTTAAATGACCACACTGTCGTTTTGATGGTACTGGATACTTCCATTTTCACATTCACATGTTGAAAGAATGGGTTACACGCCACAGTTTGTCAATCACATGTGGCGTCACTCAGGGTGTCACCCCCCCCCCCCCCAATTGCTTGTGACCAGAGTTTCTTCCAGGCATCTCTACTGCTCCCCCTCCAGAACGGAATGGAATTTATTTAGGAAATATATACTTTTAACAGTGTTCCGCCCCCCCCCCCCCCCCCGAGAAAAATTTAAGTGACCCCCCCCCCCTACCCGGAGAAAACACTGCTTGTGACGATACTGGTCATACGACATAACCACCAAGTAACACCCTACCGGCCGTGGTATCATATTCCTTTCTCGAACCTTCCATTTCAGTTCCATAAGAGACTATTGCCAAGCCGGATATTATATTTAAAAGAAAACATGCTTATGTAAGCCAGTTAAATCAACCTTTACATCTCATCGATAAAAGAACATTAAAATATTCATGTAATTACATTCAGTATTAAATGCTCCATGTGCATCATTCCCTCTAAGGGGAAAAGGCTAGTGTACAACTTGTATTTTGTGTGCGTGGTGTTCTAAAAGTCTTATACAAGGATATCCGTATTTTACAAAATGACTGCGCGGCAGGTTCAAAACTACTGCGCGGCCCGCACAACCGCGCACATTAGAGGGAACACTCTCCATGTGTTTTGCAATGTGTGGCTATTCCTCAACCTCTTGTTCTGATTGTAGCACTGTATCAAAATCAGAAAAAAGCTTGTATGACCTAAGTCAAAGTATTGATTTTAGAGTGAATTCTCTGTCTTGATTTTAATTAAATTGCTGCACACGACATTATAAATTAAACTTTAAAAAAATTTAATAGACCATTAAATATTGAGAGCAACTTTGATCTTTGAAGAAAAAAAAAATCCTGTTTCCCTTTTAAGCCCGATACTATTGTATGCTGTGTCGATGATCGGTAAACGACAAGGGTTGATTTATACGCATAATGATATCAGCTATAATCTAGCGTCTTAAATTGCTGTTTGATTTTATGAATGAGATTAATGAGTAACCAATGCTTCTGTAGGCCAACTTAATGAACCCCACGCTTGATTAGCGTTTTAAGTGGGCGGGACGGAGTTGAACGACGTCATTATCGGCTACTTTAAGGGGCGGCATTCTAAGCTTGTTGAGTTCTATATGTCGGGGTGAAGTTAGGAGGTGTTGTGGGCAGAGGCGTAGCGAAGGGGGGGGGGGAGGGGGGTACATATGTCCCTGGGCGCCAACCTTAGGGGGGCGCCAAAATGAGTTGGAAAAACAAATTAAAATATTATTTTAGCTGCATTTTTTGCTTTATAAATATAAAAAAATATATGAGTGGGGTGTGCAAATCGAAAGTTTGAGGGGGCTGAAACTCGATAGTTCGAGGGGTGGGGGGTGCAAATCGAAAATTGAAAGGTTGATCCCGAGAGGGGCGCCAAATTAAATAGAAAAAACAACACATTTTATATCCACTCACACATGACATATTTTTTTTATTAACTTTGGTTTCTACATAAATATCCGCTAGTTTTATGGGGTCATCCATTTATGACGCCCCCCACCCCTCCCCTCTGTCAAACATCGTCACAAAAAGCCAGACCCCCCCTAAAATGACGATACACCTCAGCCTACACCCCCCCCCCACCCCCAAATTGCATTTGAATTTTTCTTATAATAGGGTATTTTTCCGAAATCTTGTCTGAACTCTGTCAACATAGAGTATTTTAATCAATTCCTTTTACAACTTATTAAAAAAACAGTTTTCTAGAACGCGAAATAACGGCTAAAATTCGGTTTCTAATATTGCTTTTTTATAATGCAAAAGTGTGACGTCACACCACCTGAAACCCCCCCCCCCCTCATCTCAAGCCCCCACAAAATTACGGACCCCCCTCCTGCCTACGCGTGTGACGTCATTTATGGCCGACCCCATTGCAACTTGTAAACATCCAATGCTGTTGATGCGGGTCGATATCACCCTAACTAGAACTTCCGATATATTAATAGGATAGCTATGATAGGATAATTATTGACTTCATAAATAGACCTTATATTGACGTTATCGACAAGGTCGTTTTTGCTTCAACATTTGTTTTTTTTTTCAATCGGGAAATACGGCTACCCTATTCCCAACATTACCCCGAGCAAAATTATTTCTATCTAATAAAAATCGACCTCCGTTATCGATAATTGGTCATCGGCCAATCGTTGCTACTGTCCGTGTCCCAGTGTAAGCCTCATCTTTCTAGAATTTTCCCAAGCTGTCAAGC